TCTTTCCTGTATCGGACCTGGGTCTGTTGAGATGTCATTTGATAAACTCTGAGTCACTCCCCACACTTCTCCTTAACTCTATCAAAGAATTCCCTTCCCTAGTGGTGAGAACGGGATAAGGTGGGATACATTGACCACGATGATGGAGTCGCCACTGCTGGGTTAAGAGAAACGCGAAGAATCCATCAAGAACACTTTATGGAGGCTTTTATTTGAACGCGACTCATCAACACAGATTCCTCAAATACCTCCGTTCTTCCATAGCGAGCTGAGAAAACGTTGAAAATGCGAAAAAGTCCTGAACTTTCCAGAATATATCGTGTGTCGGAAGTGCTTTTCAAGAAAAGTCGCTGAAAAAGAGTAGAAAAGTGCTATTACCTACCACTTTACTAACGGAAGCATTGTAAAATGGAATGTGAAATGCGGTAGAAGTTCAAGTTCGTAAACTATCATTGATCGGATTATTTTTGGAAAGGGCCAGAGTCAAACTACAATAGAAGTGTAGAGGACCAGGTCGGTACAATAACTTATGGGTCCGGCTTTAGTAGAGGCTTTTGGTAGAGTTCTTATCGAAGATTAGAGTTCCAGGAAGGGTGGGTTACCGACACCTCTTACCACTGCCCTCCTCGACCCTGACTGGTAATGGCGAACATAGTCAATATACGCATATAATAATATAAAACGTTTGTTTACTCCACGAAACAATCCAAAGACAGCCTTATCTGCAGCACATTTGGTAAAACAAGCAAATAAATCTGAAAGTGGCGACGACAGGTGAAAGCTAACACGAGAACGAGCTGAGAATTTTTCTAGTGTCATTGAGGATGAAACAAGGATTGGAGTAAACATTTTTCACCCCCAAAAGAAAACATCAAAGGAAAAGGTACGTCATTAGGCATAAATAAGAGAAACACCTCCGAAAGGAGGAACACGTTGAAATGGATTGATTGGCATTTGACCCGGATCCTTTCCGCACCTAACCATTCTGATCTGATGGATAGACTGTTGTTTTTCAGAGAGGTTTTAAAAGGGAAATGAGAAAGACAACAAATGATTCTACTTGTTTATTACTTGAAATAGAGGTGCGCAAACTGATGGTTGTTCAAAATCAAGTTGTTCACCACCATGTAAACGAAAAACAAGTAAGCATCTTTATACAACAGTATTATGCCAAAATTGTTAGGAGCGGCTTCTTCAGGTTGGGAAAGAGCCGTGCACAAGAAATGCTCACCGCAAATCGTAGATAAACAAAGTAGTCGCCGTGGACTGAAGTGGAGGGACCCCACCCTGTATGATCATCGGACCTTGTATCGAACCCCACTCAGAACAATCAAGTACTGCACGGCTTCTGGGAGGCTTCCTTAGTAGCAGGAACTCTTTTACCAAAGACACACATAGGATTGACCCATGAATCATTGCACAACCTGATTAGTATTCGAAAGCCACAACGACTTCTGTGATTGAATAAAATTTCTAATGATATTCTCTAAACCCAGGGCTAGAATCGTGAAAAGTTGCTTTTTTTTGCCGTAAAGAAAAGTAATAAAAGAATTCGTTTACAATCAAAGACAGCAGAAAGACAGTAGAGCTGTCCAGTTTTCGAAGCGAAAGCGATGAACAGTGCGAGTCGAGTTGCTCGACAAAAACACTTCAGTAGTATGGGACGAGCTCGACATGATTAGTGAAACCGGAATTAGATTAGTTGGGATCAGGTAGTATTTGTGGGAATTTTTTCCCAAGCCATTTGTCAGACCCATCAATCATTTGTTCGGCGAACTTTCTTTTACGCATTAACCGGATTGCCGAGTGCAATCCTCTTTCATCAGGGCTATCGTGAATGCTGTTTGTTTTGTGAGGGCAGATATTACAACTGGGAAGATTTGGGGATATCCAAAGAGTAAATGTTTCAATCCTCAGCCAAGTTCGAGTCTATAGGGGGATAATGGAGCTATAGGAATTCCTTAACGTCCTTATCCTAACCTTGGTCGAGTAACTTCACTGATATCAAATCAGGAAGGAATTTCGGCTAATAAGCATGTTGTACAGAGTTCGTGCGCTCAGGGATGTTGGCTGCAGTCAGGTAGAACCGCCACAGTCTCAGCTAGTCCCCAGGCTTGTGCTGTTGATAACGGCAGCTCCCCTATGTCAAAGAGCAGGCTCATTACCTCCCTTCGCGTCCATTTCGTACAAGAACTTTTTGTTGTACTGCTCAAAAGTTCTCTTTAACCGCGACCATTTTGACTTGTGAGATAGTACAGCACAAAAGTGGCGAGGATCCTTTTACCAGTTCTATAGATCGTTCGAAAGATCTCAGGTTTGTACCATCGCGAATAAAGTCCCCAGAGAGTATTGCTAGTTACCGATCTCTAAGAAGAAGTGTTACTATCTGCAACTTCAGGTATCTACAGTTCGAATTATTTAAGTTCAGCTATAAATTCCACTGAGATCTCCCTGACCAAACAGAAACTTTTACCCTTTATCAGGGCACAAATATTTTTGGCTTTTCGAACGCTCATCCATCCTGTATTTTTTAAATCTTAAACGACATAAAGACTGGCAATATACTTAACAATGAAAGAAAAAGGCGAAAAGTTGCGGCGGCACATTTTCCATTAAATTTCATGCTCTCTCATCTTGAAAACTCGGCATTTCTGCAGTACTTGATATTGTTGGTTTTGCTTCTGCCTCGGGGTTGTTAGGTGCTTGAGGTTTGCCGTCGAAACGTTGGCCAGAATAAAGATTCTCACCTAATAACCTCGAGGCAGAAGCAAAACTACAGAAATGCCGAGGTTTCAAGATGAGAGAACATGAAAAAGGCGGAAATTTCCAATTAAAAAGCATTTTCGGAGGGTGAAGTTCTCGAATCGAAAGGGAGAACGTAACAGAGCACAAAGTTGAGGACAATTGCAAGGCAAACAAAGGAGAGAACTCGATAACGGAAATTGGTTTGACTGCGTACTCATTTTTGGTGGTAACACTTCAAATGAAACTCCATGCATTTTGAGTGAACTTAGTTTTAAGGGAGCGATACTTTTTGGGCCTTTTATTCACCCCTTGCCTGGAGTATCAATGGTTCAATCATCGCTTGTTGATCCCGATACGATCGAGCATGGTGATGATGCTCAAGTGGTCATCACGATTCGCACCTTTTCTATTAGCTCACCTGCAGCTGCCAGCTGGTCCCTGTTCAAGCTACCGTTCCCATTTTGGGTGCCAACCAATGTCCAACAAACCATGATGATTCAGTTGTTGTTCCTCCTTTTTACCTGAAAAACATAATTTAATATTGACATAAATTACAGTGTTATTGTACTATTTAAAGGCAGCCTACAATTAGGCTCAACTTTGAAATATGAGGCCACTTAATTGACCATTTGAAACCTTTATTAAGTAGGGCTGGCAAAATTCGGTGTCGAGCCTACACTACCTCACCTGCTGGTGTCAGCTCGCCTTTATTCTGGCTATTTATGTCATTTTGGCTTCCTACCACTCTTGCACAATCATCGGGCTGCTCTTCTTTTCACCCTGATAAATATAAGTTGATACCGCTATGAATTACAGTAATCGGTGTATTGTTAGCTAAGAGCCTACCACTGCCTCCAATTTTCCGAATTCTGCAGCAACCCGTCTGGCATTCAGAGCATTCTGCTCACTTGTGCCGGCGAAAAATAGTCACCGACCTCACAGATTCTTTATTAAATTTCTTCGACCATCTGAGCATTGGAGTGAAGACCTTTCCTGAAAATCGCCTAGACTGTCGTTCGATACTTTTGGACGTGAATTCTCCGTTCGGTCACCTAAATTCATCAATGAGTTGGTTGACTTCCATTTTTGGTATATTTTTTCGTCGGCACCGGCAGTAACTCTTCTTGATAGCTTCGAAAGCTGAAGAGCCGGCTTCTGAAAACGACGTGAGTGACAGAGAAACATAAAGTGTCTAAGACGAGTACCTGGCTACTGCAGAAATACTTAAAACCTGTGAAATCGTCCTAGTCAAACTCTCTTGTAGGTATGAATTCTGTATTTTTCCTTTTCCGTCACAATCCTCCCTTTGTTGGTTCGTTTTTTCTCAAGTGTGAGAATCGGGCCGGTTGTATTGTTTCCACCACATCGCAGCGAACGGATTACTGAGGCGGATGGTTCGAAACTGAGTCGCAAAGGATTCGAAAGTTCATAGAGATCTTTCACACCTCAACAAGGACATTCCTGTTTGTTTTCCTTCCTTTTCACTTGATTCAGGGTGATTTCTCCTGCCAGAGTTAGACTCGTTGAAAAGTTCGCTGGTGGTATTCTCACTCCTCTTCTCATTGCAGCAACGGTGCCCGGAAGTATCCGTCGGAATGATCCCAAATTATCTTTTTTTTAGAAGCCTCTATGCAAGGACTGCTGCTTCTGCTACCTCTTAATTGCTTATTTCACCGTATAATTTATTATATCAACTACTAATATTATTATTATTTAATTTATTCAACCGTACCAACAGTCCGCCCACAATCAACACGTACCTCTTTACGGGTCCGAATTCGACCAATCCATTGCTGAAATCTATTGAAACTTGTGTCAAGCTTCTGGCAGTGATCCGTCTGGCATTCGCACGACCTAATGAAATCGGGTTCAGTGGTACCACTCAAATTTATGAATATTTAGTTAAATTGCTGGCCATATGAAACATTCAACAATTCGCTTTAGAAGTATATTTGTAAATTTCGTAGTTGTTGGACGATAGGCCCTGTAGAAGCTTGTGAAACTATTGCCGAACTTCATACTCAAAATTGAAATTATATCAAAATTAAATTTATGAATTGCAGTTACTGTATTCTCGTTATGAACAATTGCTTCGTCAATCTCGACTTCCCTCCTCTGCCCAAAGCACCGAGGGGTTCCCGATGGTCATCGAAGTGAGCAAAATAAATTTATTCCATTTCTCCTCCCATATCAACACTGAAAATCGACATCGCAAGTCGATCAGGTTCTCCGTGGGTTTCCTGTGTAATCCACCCATTATAACCTCCCTTATTATTGAATAATATTTATTATTGTTTCATGTTATCAACCTTACAGCCTATACTATGAGAAAATATAGAAATTCTCCAGTTGCGATCTACACTTCCTTGTTGCAATCGTTTTGCTGACAGTCTTCATGGTGGTATTACTGGGATTCTTCGCCTATTCACTCACAAAGCAAGAAACAGTAAGTTCTAGTAAGTGCTTAGTTCTAATGGAGGCAATCGAATAACCTTTCCGAGAAAAAAATGAATCAATTTGCTCAGAGCCCAAAAACGTGGTGGTAAAACGGGTCACAGTTGTATGTACCTACACGGTACATTAGGGAAAGCGGCATTTGGATTTCCGATACATTCAGCTTATCACATTCCATTTATTCCTCATCGTTGAAGGAATATGAAGTCGATANAAACGGGTCACAGTTGTATGTACCTACACGGTACATTAGGGGAAGCGGCATTTGGATTTCCGATACATTTAGCTTATCACATTCCATTTATTCCTCATCGTTGAAGGAATATGAAGTCGATAGTGCCACAGAAGCAATGGAGCAGCTTCCAGTACAACCAGGCAGCACCATAAATTTCCGGCAAAGAATTACTGCTGGCAGTTATGAAGGTAAAGCTGGTTCTTCGAATTGTTCCAGTCAGAAAGATTAAAGGCACAGTTCATGATAAAAATGGTTTCTGAGATTACTTCCTGGTATGAACTTGTAGTCCCCATGCACGAAGAGCGCCGCCTGGTCGAAAAAGGGCAGCTAGATAGGGCGTTATAGGGGCCCAAAACCGTACTTACCCAAAGGCGGACGAGTTCTCACGGCTTTGTAAAACTTCAGAACTGCTGTACCAATGCCACATACATGTGGACAACTAATCAAAATACTCCATCCGTGCAATTGTGCTGTCACTTTCTCGTCCAACCCTCAATTTTACTACTTTTTGCAGCCTTATATTTCTCTGAATACGCCAATTTTCGCGTCTTCTTCGCCACTTTTGCACTGCTCTTGATTATCACTTACATTATTTGTCTAAACCTGGATATCCCAGAGTTATCGTGAACTTTGCCTTCAAGAAAGCTGAGCTTTCGTGTATCCCTTTATTGCGTCCTTCTGCAGGAGTAACTTCTGGAAGGTTCGAAGGCGGCCTCCAACCGCCTCCACAACCGTCGAGAAAGGGAGTACCAGATGCAAGCTCAACAAGTGAACCATCTCCAAGCTGGTCTGCTGCAGTATATTCAGATCATAAGAGCTGCAGTGAAATTGGAAGGTAGTTAGGATTATTGTTTGAGCAATTTGCTCTTCACGGTTACCTTTCATTCATAAAGAAATATACCAGCCGGTACTGGATACATGTCGCATATTGGAAACTCAGAAATACCTACATTCAGTACCAATTCATGTCCTTTCAGAAAAAAGTATAATTCTAAATTGTAAAAAAAAGTTATGATAAAATAACAGAGTAATTTATTGTTTGTTCAAGATTTTATTTGACCAAAATATTTTCCATTCAAGATCGATTCTACTACATGGTGGTAATGCAGTGGATGCAGCCATTTCGGCTATGGTTTGTCTCTCAGCCGCTCTCCCTCATCGAGGTGGACTTGGAGGAGGATTCATGGCTACGATCTACCGTAATTCTACCTGCACTAGTATGAATTCGAGGTTACTATTTTATCGCTGAACTACATGAAACAATTGGCAATTTCCCAACCCGCCTCCCCGAGGTAAGCAAACCAGCCCGTTGGCCCATCTGCTGGATGCATTTGCTTATTCTGCGATTCTGTTTAAGGGTCACATAATCCCACTCAGGAGAAGTACAAGGGGAGTCGCTTCTAAATTCCAGGTGGAAGTTCTTTATACGGTGTACATAGGGCTGCCGTGCAACTGTGACAGTATGGGGTGCTTTAAGAGTTGATTCATCTATTCGCCCAATGTCTTCCACATATTAACAAGGAAGTGTCTTCTTCCACCTAGGATTTAGAAGCGACTCCCCACGTACTTTCCCTGAGCGGGATTATGAGACCCTTAAACAGAATCGCAGAATAAGGAAGTGCATCCAGCAGAAGGGTCAAACGGGCTGGTTCGTTTACTTCTCCTCCCCACTACCCCTTCCCTCTCTCTCTTTGGAAGAACTCATCATTAGTTTTGGCTTTTTCGTTTCTACTATGTACGATTCCTAATTTGATTATAAATAATTCAATTTAAACTCCGACAGGCCCCCCTCTCCATAAAAATGCAGCAACACAAAACTAATTTCAGCCAACTTTTTCAGGGAAACTTGTCCATCAGCAGCTTCCGAAGCGTACTTCATAAATCGTCGTGATGAAACCGTTGTAGGTAAATCCTTCGATGAATACTGAACATTTGAAACAGAGAAAAGAAATAGGGGAATCAAAGCACATAAAGCGCATGTATAACGTAACTAATGAAATATCGTCTCTCGAGCATTACCAGCACAGCTGTGAGTTTTTCGAAGTTTACAATCTGAGCTTGGATTAGGACACAGTTCAAAGGTAAGGGCTAACTCAAAAAGTTGGCATCTTCCGACTTCTCCAGCTATCCTAACATTGAAATTGTATTTCAATTGAAAAATTAAAGATTAAGAGAAGGTTGAAAGGTTATGAGATAATTTCAGCCTTCATTCACTTATAGGACCCAAAGCTATAGCTGTTCCTGGATTCCTCAGCGGTCTGTACCGAACTTACGAGCGGTTCTCCTCAAAGCATCTGTCATGGCGTCAATTGCTCACTCCCACAATCGACCTCTGTGTACGTGGGATTACCGTATCGGAGAGTTTGTCAAAGGACCTTCTGCAATTCCAATCGATGATCAAGAACGACCCTCTAACGAGGTGAGGCTTGTTGGGGTTCTCACAATTGCGATGAGCTATATCGGACACTGTAGTTTTTACAATTTCCACATAATTGACCTTTGATTTTGGCAACTCGAAACATTTATTGACTAAGAAGGGCATGCTCGCTATTACCGAGACACTGATAAAGGGTGTCCTCAAAGAGGAGACCCTTTCAGATAGCCCCTAATAGATTGAGATCAAATTATTTGAAAGCCATCTTTCGAAGGATTCGAAAAAGGAGTGCATTTATTATGGTCAATAAAGCAATAAAACAAAGTAATACTGCAAATATAAAGAAAAACTTGGAAAGCCAAAGGTTGTTAGTTGCTATATTTTATTTATTTATCAGTCGTCAAAATTGTAATTATCAAATGTTCTCATACATTAAACCCCTATAGTGATATTATAGTAACAGAGACAATTATAATAATGCAGCGTACATAAATAGAAATAAATAAATAGATAAGACCTCCAGTTTGGTCCGTCTCGAATAAAAAGATTTTAATTCGACATATTTTCAGATCCCAGTTCTTGAACGAAACAACGAGAACAGTCCTAGCCAAGGGCGACAAAATGCTCTGCCCACAACTCGCCAACTTCCTTTCGGATCTTTCCGACTCCGAAAATCCTGTCGATTACTTTTACCGAGGTGAAGGCTCGACAAGGATTCTGAAGGCAATCAAAGACGAAGGTAAGGAACTATCGCCCAGAAGTGTGCTCCAATGAAAAAGTTGTGAACCCAACCTCATATGATGTAGTTTACTGTGGGATAAATTAAAAAATGTCAGCTGTAATTGCAGACGCCTTTCTGACTGCACAAGATCTTGACGACTTTGAAACTGAACACCAATATGGACTGCAATCTCACGTAGAGGATACGACACTCTGCGGACCTCATCCACCGTCGCTGTTTGCTGTTGTACAACTAGCAGTAAATGCCATGCAAAGTAAGCCTATACAAGTTACATTGAAAATAAGTAAAGGGGGTTGTAAATAAAGGAGGGGGGTCTTAAAAGCTATGGGATTTGCGAAAAAGTTGAAAGCAAGGATTGCGGAAGTCAAATTGTGAAAACAAAGTAAAAACAGGCATGAAATCTCCTTCTTGTAGCCAGCTTGAAGGCAGTCAAAACAGCTGAATGACAATGTTTTAAATATCAGCCAGTCGACCGCCTTCAATGAAAAAAGTGAGAAGCAATGAACAAGAGTCCGAAGTAAGACTCTTCATTGCCATTAAAGATGACAACTGAGAGTTAGCTATGCCTTAAAAAGTTTTCGGAGTAAAGAAATAGTTTTGCGGAGGAAAAAACGATGACCAACAAGGCCAAGAATAGTAAGGAATGAAGAGGACAGCAGGTTATATAGGCATAGAGCAGGGAAACATCTCGAAGAAAGGAACCGATCAAATCAGATTGATTGGCATTTGACCTGAGTTGCTTTTGCACCAAGAACTAGTCGACTAAGTGACTGGCTCTACGATGGACCTGAGATAATATCAAAAATTGGATGAACGGCAATAAAATATAGAAAAGAAATGTGTAACCATTTCGTGTTGAGCCACATGAACTACCTTAACCGGGTGCCGAAATTCTGACTATGTCCTACGACTCCCTCAGAAATAAAGGCCCATGGCTGACGGGTGCCACCATTATTACCTGTCAAGGCTCATTCACTGTACCGTCTGCCTTCTGAAACTCACAGCTTCTGAAACTTGGTACACTTCAGTGGCTTCATCTTCTCACTTCCCTCACAATCTGCTACCATGTAACAAACTTGTAGGGATGCACTCACAATCAGTGAAGGGTAAGAAAATAAATATAAATCAACAAGTAAACAAATATCACTTATAACAATACACCTAACTCATTCTCGTATGACACCCACCGGCCCTCACAAATTTGATCTGATAATGAATTCCACCGCCCGTTTGTGAGCCTTCCTTTCGAGCCGGGTGTAATTTAGCAAGGTGGATCTGTCGAGAAGTGCGTTGAGGTCCAGCTCGGAGTTCCGAGCCGTGAGCTTTCTAGTAGTTTTTTGAACTCAAAATGCTTAATCTTATCAACCCTAGTAACCCAATGTTTTGCAGAGCCTTTTTGGAAGAAATTAGTGACTGCAGCTTAAGTGTTAAAGGCCTTCCCTGTTTTTTGTTCAAAGCACATGAACTGACCCTAATCAGGATCGAATTCGACATCGGTCAACATACCTCTGCTATCGTGGGATCAGTCGAAGCTCGTTGCGGATGCCATTTTCGACAATGATATCACAAAAGATATAGCAAAAATGACGACTGGAAGAGCAGCGAAAAATCTTCTACAACTTCTGAAAGATGGGCACAATCCAGCGTCCAAGGTTGACAAGCTTTTCAAAATGATACATTCATCCAGACAGATTCTACTTTCATGTACGGCTTTCTATGAACCTCGGCATGATTATTTTACTGAGTTTGTTGTTGTCTTGAACTCTTCACGAGGTTTTTAAATAACCTTTATTAGGCTGACGTTTCGGCGGAATCGCCTTCTTCAGAGCCTGAAAGGATCATAACAATCTGTGATTATCCGACCAAACGTTTCCACCAACCCACCAAGTTCGAGACCCCCAGGGCACGCAGGTGGTCGAAAGGAGAACCACTCACCGTAACTTTGCGAATTCTTCGAAACCACCCAACTAATAGTGGTGCCAGACGACCAGTGTCAGCGGGGTACGTTATTATTAGTTATTAGTTGGGTGGTTTTGAAGAATCCGCAAAGTTACGGTGAGTGGTTCTCCTTTCGACCACCTGCGTGCCCTGGGGGTCTCGAACTTGGTGGGTTGGTGGAAACGTTTGGTCGGATAATCACAGATTGTTATGATCCTTTCAGGCTCTGAAGAAGGCGATTCCGCCGAAACGTCAGCCTAATAAAGGTTATTTAAAAACCTCGTGAAGAGTTCAAGACAACAACAAACTCAGTAATAGATTCTACTTTGTCATCTGTTTTGCTCTTTGCCACTAGCATCTTTATTTTCGTATCGATTTCACTACTGCCCTACATTGCCTACATTGTAATGGAAGACTTTCAGTGGGAATCAACAGAGGAGGGATCGTTTTCTGTCTTGGCAGTTGATGAGAAAGGAGATGCCGCATCGTTTGGTTCATCTTTGGGCGACAAGTGAGCTCCCTTTCGTATAAACAAAAGATCTAAAACGATAGTCAATACAAGCTCAAAACAGTACACATAATTTTAAAAGCAGCGCAATAGTAAAATTTCAATTGTGATGTGGATCTCTGTGAAGTGAAGTTACTCTTCCACAGATTCGGATCACGCCAGTTCACGAACCTCGGCTTCTTCATGAACAACGCCATGGGAATGTTCACTTATGGAGCTCATCCTGGATCATTGGAGTCTCGTAATGCACCACAAGCAGCTAAGTGTCCACGGACACAAATGTCTCCAATGATTGCATCAAAGAAAGGCCAGGTATGTAGCTCAAAATTCCTGAATAAAACTAAAATGGCCATTGCCTAGGCCATTTCCAGTCACTAGAAAGTAATTCTTTCACACCGCTGTCCTCTCTGGTAATGTGCCGGTTCCTACAGACATCACTTACTGTAGAGGCAAGGAACCTATTTGAAGATTCATACGATTTCGAACGAAAATCGAATGTGTGGCGTATCTCACGTGGTGTAGATCTATGCCGAAATGTTTGTTATGTTACTGAGGTAGACCCAGACTTCAAAATTCTACCTTAACACCCGAATCATACAAACCAATTACAGGTGAAATTCGTCGCAGGTGGAACAAATTATGTTGGATTGTGCCGAGTGGTTACGGATGCTTTATTGAGTACCCGAACGTACGCTTCTCCTATTTCACCATTACTGTACAGAAACGAAAATCGATTGGAATTGAGAAGTGGAGACGAGGCGCTATTGTCGGGTTATTGAAGTAAACCAGACACCGAGAACTCTGCCCATTTCGTTCAGGATTACGTTGATTGTTATTCCTTTACATTTGCCTTATTTGAAGTAGCGCTATTTTCCGAGAAGTAGGGCTCGATTTGTATACACAAGGAATATCAGACGATGTCTTCCTCATTTCTACCTCGGACTTATGCATTTCGCGATAAGTAACAGTTTTAATAATAATTTTTTCGTGTTTTTAATAACTTCAGATGACCAAGTCCATAGTATTTCCATCAACTGAACCCATTCTCCGCCTCGGGAGCTTTGGAAAGCTCATTTTGAAGTTGGACTTATCCGTACCGAGCTTCCCTGACGATTGCGATATGGAGGTGACAGTAGACTTTAAGAACCCCTAACCATAAAGATAAATCAGTTGATTGGAAATTTAGGGTAAAAAGGGTTGCTTGAGTCGTAAAAGCATTCAATATCATTGCAGTTATCGATTCCTTTCCCCTTTCGACCTCCTTTTCCAATTTCTATAGGTCTGAAGTAATTTTCAAATTCATACATAAAGAAATAAGATCTTCGAATAGCATTGATAAGCTCACGATAATGAGTTATTTGTGTTGTAATGTAGTTGATGATAATTCCTTATGTTAATGTTTGTGCGGCATCGAAGCTTAGTGTGACTTTCAATTAATCTTATTCAATTCCTCAACCTTGAGTGTGACAACTTTCCCTCATAGTACGTTCTCATGCAAGGAGCATAAATAATGAATATTAATATTGAGCAATTTTGCATATACAGTATCCCCTCAGGAAAGTTTCTTTTGCCTGTAATAAGACAGACCGTGACCGTGAAAGATTAGTTCCTTAGGTGTTGAAGGCACAGTACACGATAGAAATTGTTTCTGTGATATCCCGCTGGAATAACTCTGTGGCCCCCAGTCATAGTACATGGGCCATTGTCGGGCCAAAAAACGGC